GAAAAAATTATGTAGCAGGCTAGTCCATTTTGCTGACATTTCACTGCAGCAACTCAAAATGGTACTTAGTAGTTTGTATGACCCCCACATGCTTGTATGCATGCCTGACAACGTCGTGACATGCTTCAAATGAGACAATGGATGGTGTCCCGGAGTATTTCCCTCTAGATCTGGACCAGGGCATCATTGAGCTCCTGGATAGTCTGAAGTGCAACCTGGCGGCGTCAGAAACATGATATCCCAGAGGAGTTCTAATGGATTTAGGTCAGGCGAGTGTGGGGGACATTCAATGGTAGCAATTCCTTCATTCTCCAGGAACTGCCTGTATACGCTTGCCACATGAGGCCAGGCATTGTCGTGCACCAGGAGGAACCCTGGACCCACTGCACCAGTGTAGGGTCTGACAATGGGTCCAAGGATTTCATTCTGATACCTAATGGCAGTCAGGGTGCCATTGTCTAACCTGTAGAGGTCTGTGCGTCCCTCCATGGATATACCTCCCCAGACCATCACTGACCCACTACCAAAACGGTCATGCTGAACGATGTTACAGGCAGCATAATGTTCTCCATGGCTTCTCCAGACCCTTTCACGTCTGTCACATGTGCTCAGGGTGAACCTGCTCTGTGAAAAGCACAGGGCACCAGTTGCGGACCTGCCAATTCTGGTGTTCAATGGCAAATGCCAACCGAGCTGTATGGTGCCGGGCAGTGAGCACAGGGCCCACTAAAGGACACCCTCATGAAGTCTGTTTCTGATTGTTTGGTCAGAGACATTCACACCAGTAACCTTCTGTAGGTCATTTTGTAGGGCTCTAGCAGTGCTCATCCTGTTCCTTCTTGCACAAAGGAGCAGATACTGTCCCTGCTGATGGGTTAAGGACCTTCTACGGCCCTGTCCAGCTCTCCTAGAGTAACGGTCTGTCTCCTGGAATCTCCTCCATGCTCTTGAGACTGTGCTGGGAGACACAAAAAACCTTCTGGCAATGGCGTATATTGATGTGTCATCCTGGAGGAGTTGGACTGCCTGTGCAACCTCTGTAGGGTCCAGGTATCACCATATGCTACCAGTAGTGACACTGACCCTAGCCAAATGCAAAACTAGTGAAAAATAGTCAGAAAAGATGAGTAGGGGAAAATAATGTCAGTGGCATCCACTGTAAAACCATTCCTGTTTTGGGGGTCATCTATTGTTGCTCATCTAGTGCACTGGTTGTTAATTTCATTAACACCAAAAGCAGCTGAGCCTGATTAACAACCCCCTCTGCTACCTAACTGACCAGATCAATATCCCAGGAGTTTAATTGAATTGATGCTATACTCTGATTAAAAAGTGTTCCTTTAATTTTTATAAGCAGTGTATATACTCTGGCACCTCTCACTCCAACTGTCCACACTACAATCTCTGACAGCTCCGGCATTTCACACCATGCTTTCTGCCAGCACCCCCTCCATATCATGCTCTGAAGAAAAAAAAAAACCTGCACCTTTTAGGAGATATTTACTTTAGCAGCAGCGGTGATGTCACTGATGCATGCACATGCGCTCTCAATGGACAGTGTGCCAGTCAAACGGCCGCAGCCCAGGAACCTGGAAGGAAGACTGGGTGAAGATAGAAGCCCCAGGGAGCTGGGACAGTGCTCCACTGGAGGACTTCATTTTCAAGTAAGTCTTTCATAATGTGCTTGTATGCAATGCATATGAGCACATTATGCTCTTAAAATGCAGGGAGAAGATTTTTTTTAGATGTACTTTTTTGCAGTTTCCTACCTCTTTAAGGAATGTATGCACAGAAGATCAGATGTCAGTCTTCTTCAGAAAATCTGAGAAACAGATGCCCAATGCTGGAAAACACATGAAGCAATAAGTGATCTAGTGGAGTGTGTTTTGAATGGGAATGGTATAACCTTGCACCACTGAGATCATTAGCTTGAATGATGAACTTTCTAATCCACTTAGTGGAATGAGAAGCAGCATGTACCCTAAAGGGATCACATCCAGACAATGGAGGAAAATCTTTTTAGAATGCTTAAGAGAAGGACACAGAGACTCTAGAACAATGTCCTGGTTATAGTGAAAGGAAGAAATCACCAAAGGAAGAAAATAGGCACTGGGCCCAAAACATCTTTTTCGTTGTGTAGCACAAGAAAGGGTTATTTTCAGCTTAAGGGCACCAACTCAGAATCTTTCCTTGTAGAAGTGATGGTGACAAGAAGGGCAACCCTGACAGTAAGGACAGACAATATCCTTCCATATCCCCAATAGTTTAAAAGGGTGGTTGTTAAAAAGTGGACAAAACCAGGTTGGGATCCCACTGAGTCACTGCAGAACATACAGGAGGAACAATGTGAAAGACATCCTGTTTGAATGCCTCCACTATGGTGTAAGCAGTCAAATAGTCTTGAAAAAGAACCATTACGGCCAAGATTTGACCCTTTAAGGTAGTCAAGGACAAAAGCTGATCCAGACCAGACTGGAGAAAAGAAAGGATTTGTACCAAGGAGAACTTCCTTGGTACAAGCAAAGGTTTGGCTCTGAAGAAGAGGGCTTGACCCTTGAAACGCGCTAGCCGTTTCTGGACACTATGAGGATTTCCCATACCATCAGCCCAGTATGGTGAATTTGAAGGCAGTCTCATCTGTGTCTTTAGATATGCTTGTGCATGACATGCATTTGTGAGTATTCATTTGCTACTGTATTTGCCGGCGTATAAGACGACTGGGCGTATAAGACGACCCCCCTACTTTTCCTGCTAAAATGTAGTGTTTGGGCTATACTCGCCGTATAAGACTACCCCTCTTCCAATGCACACCAGTGGGAGGAATAGTGCCCCATCATTGATGTCAGTGGGAGGAATAGTGCCCCATCATTGGTGTCAGTGGGAGGAATAGTGCCCCATCATTGGTATCAGTGGAAGGAATAGTGCCCCATCATTGGTATCAGTGGGAGGAATATTGCCCCATCATTGGTATCAGTGGGAGGAATATTGCCCCATCATTGGTATCAGTGGGAGGAATAGTGCCCCATCATTGATGTCAGTGGGAGGAATAGTGCCCCATCATTGGTATTAGTGGCAGGAATAGTGCCCCATCATTGGCATTAGTGGCAGGAATAGTGCCCCATCATTGGTATCAGTGGGGGGAATAGGTGCCCCATCATTGGTATCAGTGGCAGGAATGGTGCCCCATCATTGGTATCAGTGGGAGGAATAGTGCCCCATCATTGGTGTCAGTGGGAGGAATAGTGCCCCATCATTGATGTCAGTGGGAGGAATGGTGTCCCATCATTGGTGTCAGTGAGGGGTGGAATAGTGCCCCATCATTGGTGTCAGTGGGGGGTGGAATAGTGCCCCATCGTTGGTGTCAGTGGGGGGGGGAATAGTGCCCCATCGTTGGTGTCAGTGGGGGGGAGGAATAGTGCCCCATCGTTGGTGTCAGTGGGAGGAATAGTGCCCCATCGTTGGTATCAGTGGGAGGAATACTGCCCCATCATTGGTATCAGTGACACCAATGATGGGGCACTATTCCTCCCACTGAGACTTGCTGACCCTGTTCTCGTATGGTGCTGCTGCAGCCAGCATATGTGGTTGCAGCAGCACCTCTACACAGAACACTTACCTGCTGCTCCGGCACTCAATTTTCGCGGGGCCGCTCGGCTCCGCCCCCTCGCCGGTGATTGGCCGCCTGTGTGCCTTTCCTGAGCTACAGTTCTGGCGACCAATCACCGGTGAGGAGGCGGAGCCGAGCAGCCGCACGAACATCCAGTGGCCGAACTGAAGGAGACGCCGCGCTTCCTGGACCGGATCGTCGTGGGACTGGATCCAGGTAAGAGACATCAGCCCCTGCAAACCCCTGTACTTAATGCCGCAGCCCCCCCTAACATGTGTACCGGCGTATAAGACGACCCCCGACTTTTGAGAAGATTTTCAAGGGTCAAAAAGTCGTCTTATACGCCGGCAAATACGGTATATATTTTTAACCACTTGCCCTCCAGAAGATTTACCTCCCTTCCTGACCAGGTTCTTTTTTGCGTTACGGCGCTGTGTTACTTTAACTGACACTGCATGGTCATGCAACGTTGCACCGAAATGAAATGTAAGTCCTTTTTTTCCCCATGAATAGAACTTTCTTTCGGTGGTGTTTTTTATTTTTTGCGCTATAAAAAAAACATTGAGGAAAAAAAAAAACAATATTTTTGACTTTTTGCTATTAACTGCTTCCCGTCCGCCCTATAGCAGAAGTACTGTTACAGGGTGGCACGGGTGCACAAAATCACACACACACACATACTAGTTGGCACCCGGTGATTGTCGAGCATCTCCAACAGGGGGGGGGGGGAACTGTTTGTAAACAATACAGTTCTCTCCTCTCTTAGCTTCTGCACACTGCTTTGCATGGCCAGTGTGCTTGCAGTGAAGCAAAGCAGTGTGCTTACAGTGAAACACACACACACCAGTTACTAAAACAGCACACAGTTAACCCTGTGATCACCGCACGTTAACCCCTTCCTGCCCAGTGCCATTAGTACAGTGTCAGTGCTTTTTATTAGCACTGATCACAGTATTGGTGTCACTGAGGAAGTCAGATACCTCCAGTGTCAGAATGCCCGCCCACAGCCCACAGATGGCAAAGTCGCTGATCGCCGCCATTGCTAGTACAAATATAACATTTGAAAAAATCCCAGTATATATACCGCCATTTGTAAACACTATAACGTTCACTTAACCAATTAATTTATATGTTTTTGGATTTTTTTTTAGCAAAGAGATGTAGCAGAATACATTTTAGCCTAAATTTAAAGACATGTCCAGTAAAATTTTTTTAAAAAAAATCAAATTTTGTCATAAATTTAGGCCAAAATGTATTCTGCTACATGTCTTTGCTGAAAAAAAATCCCAATACGTGTAAATTAATTGGTTTATGTGAAAGTTATAGCTTTTACAAATGGCTGTGTAGATACTGGAATTTTCTTTTTCTACTAGTAATGGTGGCGATCAGCAACTTATAGCGGGACTGCGGTGGGCATTCTGACACTGGTGGGAACTGACTTGGTGTCACTGACATCCCCAGTGACACCAATCTGGTGATTAGTGCTAATAAAAAGCACTGACACTGCACTGGGCAGGAAGGAGTTAACATGTGGAGTGATCAAAGGATTAACTCTGCGCTGTTTCACAGTAAGCTGTGTCTGCGCTTTCAACTGTAAGCACACTGCTTTGTATGGGTCTGATATGCAGAGCCATACAAAGCAGTGTGCTGGAGCTGACAGGGGAGAGAATTGTTTACATACAGCTCTCTCCCCTCTTCAGGAATACTCGGCAATCACCGTCTGGGACCTGGTGATTGACAGCTAAGGCGAATAGCGGCACAGGTAGGGCGCGCGCCCCCTACCCGGAAATGCAAAATCACATATATATATATATATATATATATATACGTGATTTTGCGCATCCCTGCCGCCATGAAGCAGTATTTCTGCTATAGGGCGGTGGGAAAGTGGTTAATAAAGTTGAGTTATGGTAATGCACTAGATCGGTGCACCCTCTTTTTTGTGGTTTTGTAGCTTGCGAAAGAATACCCACAGTCGTTTGAGGGTAGCAAGACATTTGTGTGCTATACCTGCAAGACCAGCCAAGAGGCTATTCAATCTTGAAGCACCACACCTGAGCACAGGAGGTTATATATTGATGTTCTCAACAGGGAGTAACAGTCTTAAGATGGAAAATTGCTGGGTTCCCAATGAGGACTGACACTTTCTTTAGGAAACCCCCCTCCAAAGGGTGTTTACTGGGCAAAATACTAAGAAGAAACCAGGACCTTTTCTGGATTAGCTGCACAAAGAAGGTTTTTTTTTACCTTAACTCATAGAATGCATGAAAGTAAAACATTTACCTTTAGAACCACTTTAAGTTTTGGAGTAATGTCTGCAGACTGCTATTCTAGAGTACCCAATGCACAAACAAGGACAAGGTACAATCCTTCACATCCTTGGCTAACTGTGGAGAAGCAAGTGCAGCTTCAAGGAATTAGAGACAGATTGTGCAGGAGATGAAGCTGAGAATTCTTCCCTAGCCAACAGCGAGGAAGGGTTAAAACCTGAAGGGGTACCATTCTAGTACTGTATCCCGTAATGGTTTTTAAACTTCTATTAGTTCTGACTATAATAAAATAAATTATGTTTAAATCTACCACTAAATACTCCATTTTAACCTTAAAGCAACCACTGTTTTAATATCTAACCTGGCATCAACACTTGAAAAGAAAAGATAAGTAATCCTTTTTTTTAATTTCTTTTTATATTTTAGACATCTTCTGACTAATGGCTATCCAATGAATTTTCAGAAACATGCAGAAAAAAATATTTAAATCTATTTTCAGTTGTCTATCCCTGTCCCCTCTGCAGTAACATGAATTTGCAGGCACTGAAAAGTAATACATTGTGCCGTTTGCAACTAAACATTTACAGATACTATTGTAATACTTTTTTTTTACATCTATGGTGGCATCTAAGCCAGGCCCCAGTATAAAGAAGTGCTGTTTCTCCTGTCACCTGTAACCTGGACCAAGAGATTATTCCTTTGTAATCTAAACCTCCATGTAGAGGCCACTTAGAAACAGAAAATTGCCAAGCTGTAAACTATACAATGAAAAGGCAAGTGGATGTGAACATTTTCTATGTCCAGGTACACTGGCAATTCAATTTGTATGTTAATCCAGAGCAGGGCTAAATCTGATCCCAAAACCCATCAGGGAGGTATTAAAATGAGAATTTTTAAGATCTTTAATTATTAGGCAGCATCCATGCTATTTCAGAGTTTTAATCTCTTCTGTGTTAACAACCTGGAAAGTTACACTAGGGTGGTAAATCTGCTGTTAACACTATAAATTAATCCTACTTGCAGTTAAATTGTAATAGTACACTCTATTTATAGTTACATAGTACATTGTATTGCCTCATCACTAGACATGTACGGTTTATAGTTACATAGTTAGTCTGGCTGAAAAAAAAAGAAAAAAGTCCATCTAGTTCAAAAAAAAAAAAGTAAAAGTTAAAATCCTATACCCAGTTTATCCAGATGAAATTTCCAAAGCATGATCCAATTTGCTCCTGCAGGGGAAAAAGTTCCTTCCTGATCCCCCGGGAGGCAATCGGATATTCCCTGGATCAACTTTACCTAAAAATGTTAGTATTCAGTTATATTATGGGCATCTAGCCACTTCCTCCTGGTACCACTATCCCCTCCCTCCTAGACTATGAGCTCGAAAGAGCAGGGCCCTTGACTCCCTTGTGTTTTGTTACTGTATTGTCTCATGTACTGTCCCCCACTATAATGTACAGCGCTGAGCAAACCTTTTAGCGCTATATAAATACTGTATAATAATAATAATCTAGGAAAGAATCCAGGCCTATTTTTAAAGCAATCTACTGAGATGGCAAGAACCAACTCTTGAGGGAGTCTATTCCACATTTTCCCGTATTTGGAGACTAAATTTCTTTTCCTCCAGATGTAAAGAGTGCCCCCTTGTCCTCTGTGATGACCTCAAGGTGAATAACTACACCAAGTTCAGTATATGAACCACTGATGTATATATACATGTTGATCATATCCCCCCTTAATCTCCTCTTCTCAAGAGAGAATAAATTCAGTTCCTCTAATCTTTCCTCATAGCTGATCTCCTCCATGCCTCTTACTAGTTTGGTTGCCATTCTCTGCACTTTCTCCAGTTCCCCAAAGTTCTTTTTGTGAATTGGTGCCCAAAATTGAACTGCATATTCTGGATGAGGTATAATGAACGATTTGTACAGGGGTAAAATGATATATCTCTCTCTGGAGTCTTTACCTCTTTTAATACAAGAGAGGATTTTGCTCGCTTTAGAACCCGCAGCTTGGCATTGCATGCCATTATTACACTTGTGATCTACCAGAACTCCCAGATCCTTCTCCACCATTGATTCCCCCCCAGTTGTACCCCCCTAGTATGTATGATGCATGCATATTCTTAGCCCCCAAGTGCATAATCTTACATTTATCAACATTAAACCTCATTTGCCACATAGTTGCCCAATTAAACAGTGCATTGAGGTTGGCTTGTAAGTTGGAGACATCCTGTAAGGACGTTATTCCACTGCATAGCTTGGTGTCATCTGCAAAGACTGAAATTCGATTTTTAATCTCAGACCCTATATTGTTTATAAATATATTAAAATGTAAGGGTCCCAACACTGAACCTTGGGGTACACCACTGACAACCCTAGACCATTCAGAGTATGAATCATTAACCACTACTCTCTGAATACGATCTATTAGCCAGTTTTCTATCCGTTATGGATTTTTCCAAGCCCATAGACTTTACCTTACACATTAGCCATGTGTGGGGAACTGTGTCAAATGCTTTCGCAATATCCAAGTATACGACATCCACCGCCACCCCTCTGTCCAAGGTTTTGCTCACCTCCTCATAAAAAGAAATCAGATTTGTTTGACAACTTCTGTCTTTCACAGATCCAGGCTGTCTGTTGCTTAAAATATTTTTTACCAGCAATAACTCATCTATGTGGTCTTTTATTAAACTCTGCAGTATCTTCCCAACTATAGAAGTTAAACTAACAGGTCTATAATTACTTGGTAAAGATTTTGATCCCTTTCTTTCTCAATCGAAATTTGGACAAGGGTAGCGCTATTATTTGTGGTTAATTTTATATTTTATTATATTTAATTTTATCACATCTTGGATAAATATTTGAATGCTTGATCACTATTATCTATTTTGAAAAAGAGCCTTTATAACTATTTATTTTTAACTTTCTCTAAAGTTTGAATCGTTAAGTACACTTAGATAAACATAGTAGACACCACTGCCTGTTTCCCCGCTCTGATAATTAAACTGCATCTTGTTTCTTGGGAATAAACACTATATGTAGCTATGTATACCTATTCTCCTCCTGAAAAGTAAACAATAACAGTACTCACCCCACTCTCATCCATCATGACCATAAAATCTACCACTGTTAACTTTATTTCCAAAAATGCTGGACGTCTGGCTGTCAAGTTGACCATTTGGCTTCAACACTTTGAGTCACCAAGTCTCAACAGGTATGCAAAATAAGGACCTCTGAGACTTCTGATAGTTTTCACTTACTTTCTTCTAACCATAAAAGTTTCAGATTAGTGAGCCCAGGGGTGTGGAAATTTTTGAAAAAATACTTGTCCAGGGACTAAACTGGAGCCCCAATCTACTTGTCCCTCATGACAATCTATAACCTGATAACTTATTTTTTTTTAACCAAAACCGTATTTAAATCGGAGGTGATATTAGGAATGTCTGGGGCTTTTAAACACAAAAGGGGCTTTCTGGCGACTTAAACGTGTAATATTTTTACCATTGCGCTGTTTATCTCCTCCTCCCCCCTTGCCTGTCTTCAGCACCGCACCCGGGGATTAGCAGGGAGGAGAGAGACCTTGCAGTGTCATGAACACCCTTTGGCTGCTCGTCAGGAAAGGGTGGCCCAGGGCTTATACCTTAACCCTTTCGCTGCCAGAGCCGTTTTTGTGTTTTTTTTCACAAGCTTAAAAAATCATTTTAGGCCTGAAGATTACATAAAACCCCCAAACATGATATATTTTCTGAAAGCAGAGACCCTAGAGCATAAAACAGTGGTAGTTTAAATTTTTTTATGTCACATGATTTTACTGCAAAAATTTAGTAAATAATACAAGTAAGTTAATTTTAGGGTACAAAAAAGCAATAAATTCCCTTTTGGTAAAATATAAAAGATGAGGTTGCAGCGAGTAAATTGATATCCAACTTGTCAAACCTTAAATTTGTGTGCGCTCATGAAATAGCGACGAACTTCATTACCCTATATTTTCTATAGGTGACACTTTTAAAGCTGCTTATAGGACACCAGTTTAGTGTTACGGAGGAGGTCTAGTGTTAGAATTATTGCTCTCATTCTGGCGTGCGTGGTGATATGTAACATGTATTGCAATTGACGGTTTCATGCGTAGGCGCCCCAGCATGTGCTTTTACGTTTGTACGTGCGTATATGTGGGGGGGCGGGGGCCTCAATATTTTTTTGGGGGGGGTGGTATGTGCTTGGGTGTAACTTTCATTTTTTACAATTAAAAAAAAAAAAACAAAAACCTTTTTTTTGTTGTTCACTTTTTTTTTTCCATCACATGGGGGACAAAGTCCCCTATGTGATGATTTTTGGTGACAGGCTCTCTTTGAGACATCCAAGGTCTAAAAGACCCTGCATGTCTCCCCTCTGCTCCACTGAATGTAATGTTCATTCATTTCCGGGAATTGTATTAAAATCTCTCAACGGGGACCCGGAAGTGACATCGTAACGTCAATTCTGGGTCAGCACAAGAAGGGGAGTGGACTTGTCCGCTCTCCTTCCTC